TTAAAGCTACAGTATCGGTATCGGAAATGAAAACGCTAGATCGGTGCATCCCTGAACATTATGGGACCCAATTTTACTTCAACAAATCTTTCCTTTTTGGTTATAATAATTTATTGTGTTATGAACTTGACCTAAATATCTCTTTTTATTTATGTTTTGTTTTTTTCCAGAATTCAAGGAAAACACCTAACATTTTAAATCCATGTTTCTGTCCCATTCCCAGCGCAGGTATCCCCCTCCACCTCGCGTTGCAAACTGTCCCCAGAGGCCCGCTTTAAGTGTCGTATTCAGACCACAGTGGCGAGGAACAGCAGATTAGCCATGATCCTATCCGTTCCCCGCTCGCCCCTTCATACGCTCTGTTACACCAGCATTTACCAAGAGGAGGGGACGCCATTCAGACCCGTGATATGAGTCCTACGCGTACGGACCTGAACAGAACTTACACCTCGTGCAAAGAAAAGACCCCTTTGGCACCCTCTAATTCTCGTTGCTATGGGGCTGCCAGGCTCGATTCTGCTCCCCCGTTGTGATGGGACAAAGCCTCTCAGTCAACCCGGGGACGGTTGCTAGGGGAGGCAGAATGTATGGGGAGGGACAGGGCCCGCCGTTGTCCGAGAAGAAATGTCTCTCTTAAGGCGGGTGAGGTGTGGTGATTGACAGGTGGCTACACGCTCCAGTGCAGTTTGCCAGCCCGGGAGGTCCCTTGGCCTTTCAGCTAATGTGTTTATATGCATAACTCTGTGTAAATGGCTATGGCCAGTTATGGTGGTTGGCAGGGAGGACGGTTGGGGGTTCAAAGCCAGTCTAGATAAAGTTTGTATCATGAGGCGGTCTATAATAGTAAAAGCACGGTTGTAGCCTATAGAGGGAGCTGGTTCTTTCTGTGGATGGCAGGTGGTCACCAATAATGAATGAATGTACGGTTGGAAAGTTGCCGGTAAATTTCAGACTGCAAGATTGTGGAGGTTTTCTGCTGCAGACAAAATACATCTTTGCTTAAAGGTCCTATACTATGCAAAACTGACTCTTGTGAGCTTTTAGCCATGTTATAATCTTGTTACCTCATCAAAAACACACCTGGAGTTGAGTTTTGTTTCATTCACACACGTTTGAGTAGTCTTATTATTATTCTCTTCACATCTCCAAAGCTCAAAATGTGCTGCTTCACCTTGTGATGTCTCAAAGAAGTAGTTTTTAAGTTTCAAGAGCTACTTTTTACATTTTGTATTCTAGAGATGTGAAATTCCAGGGCTGAAATTATCCAAATGATTCTAGTGAAGGTGTATGGAGTTTAAAAACACAGTGGAGCCCTTCCTGCATTACTTGATATTACAGGGCAGAACAGAGTGTCTTTACGAACCTCAAAAAATCCTGTTCTACTTGAAGCTGTCTTCTCATTGTAGCCTGCCTTCCATAACTTGTATCTGTCCTTTGTAAAAGATCTGTAAGTACAATAATTTGGTTAAAATAAGGTTTATAAAAAAGCTTCATACTTCAAAACAAATGATAATTAAAACAATATAGTGCTCTAGATTCTATCATCACACTTTATAGAATTTTGAGATAGCCTAATGTTAAACTAATGGAGATTTTAAACACTACGCGCTCATTCAAGAGTTCTTACACTAGTGAGATACATGTATTTACCAGTAATGATCCAGCAGCTTATAGGATCGTTCCATAGCTCTTTTGTTTACTTTTTATAGCCTATGTATGTATATATTGTATGTATCTTTATATACTTAGACAAACTTTACTGATACAGAAGGGAAATTACTTGTTTACAACAGCTCACATGTCACATTAATTTACAATAACAAAGAGAAAAAAAACAAAAAAAGTGGTAATAAAACTTCAAAATAAGTAGCAATTTAAAAAAAAAAAAAATTAGCGAGACTGAAGTCAAATAAGACAAAAATTAAATAAATGTATGTACATGTAAGTGTGATGTATGAACATTTGGCATATCTGACAGTAATATAGAGTTTTTTAATGCACAATCTGACTAGTGCATTTTTTCACATTTGATCTGGAGCTCTATGTTTTAGAAAGAATTTTTTTTTACTTTTTGGAATTTTCATAAATAGTTGTTTATTGCACATTAACTCGTGGTTTTACACTAGTATTGATTAAAAAAATTAAACATTTTTAAGAGAAGGTTCAATTTTGTCCATTTTTGACATTAATACAGTTTTAGTATTGGTTGACATCAGTAATTAAAAGCTCTCGACTATTATGAACCAAACTTGTTACGTGTTACCTACCCTAACAAAAAGGGTGATATATAGGCCACATAAATCCTCCTCTCCCACTGTTCACAGAAATACCAAACCATAGAATGTACAACCACCAAATAGATGTATAATGTGTTTTTTAAATTATTATATTTTTACTCAGATTGGTTTTAAGTTACCAGACTGAAGGACCTCTCAGTGTCTCACCTGATTTAGAGCAGAATTTTATTCTGAAAGTTGAGGCATTTACTTCAGGTCTTTTCACATTTCTCCACAGACATCCATCTCACAACATTCTCTCTAAAAATCAAAAAGATTATTATTAAACTTAAATGCATTTTAAATTATAAAAGATAATTGTAATGTATGTGATATGTGTATGTTATATGTACGACCTTTAAAGCATATGTGGCAAATCCTTGTTACTAAAATAAACAAAATAAGTAAAGCGCTTTGTGTTAGTATGAAAAGCACTCTGTAAATAAAGTTTGATTGATAAATATATTACCAAATAACTTAATTTTCATACAATAACAAAAAATAATAATATTTAGTCAAAGTGTATTTTTTATGCTTGCCTTTTATTTTATTATAGTTTATGTTTTATATTTATTTATTTTTTGTTAAACAGACACATATGTGAATTCAAGGCTTGTGAAATACTAGCAAATCTAATAAATTTTCATACAGATAACTAAAAACTTCCCAAAAATGAGCACTAAATGATGAAATGTCATGATAAAATATAAAGAAATTCAGTCAAAGTTCATACAATATAATTATTTTCTCTGTCAAACCTCAAATCATTAAAACTTCTAACCAAAACATTAAAAAAAAGGATATCTTCATTTCTATAACGATTTTGCATCATAAACCAAAGTTTAGAGTAGCTCAAAAGGCAATCAAATATATTCAGATGTAAATGTTTCAGATTTAAATATGGTACTCAGACATGTCTATTTTGTTTTCTCAGTCAATTACAGATTAGTATTACAATTTGCATATTTAAATCTGCAGTTTCAGACTATGGGAACCTCCACCCAGACTGTTCCTAGACAAACCCAGGCCCCATTTATACGACCGAGGGCCAGAGGTGCACGAGCTCAGACCAGGGACCCTTCACTGTCTCCTCGTCTGGGACCGTCTGGCTTCTCCTCTCCCAGACGGCGCTCCCCCATCCCCCCCTTTTTTCCCCTTGACCTTGACTCTGTGTCGGGGCGACCCTCCTCACAGTCTGGGGTCAAAGGTTAACACAGCAGCCACACATCAGACACGCTGTCGCTCCCCCGTGTTCAATGGTAAATCAGAGAAAATCAGCAGCCTGTTGGAATGTGTGAGGAACATTCCTGCAGAGAAGGACGAGAGGAAAGGAGGAGGAGGAAGAGGAGAGGATGGGGAGAAGGAGGAAGAGAAGTGGATGGAGAGAAGGGGAGGAAAGAGAGCAGGTGAAGATGGAGAGAAGGATGCGAGAATGGAGAGGAGAGGACGAGGAGGAGAGAAGAGAGGGAGGAGAGGATGAAAAGGAGGAGAATGGGAAACAAGGAGGAAGAGGAGAGGATAGAGAGAAGGAGAGGAGGACGAGGAGAGGATGGAGAGGAGAGACGAGAGGGAGGAAAGGATGAGAAGGAGGAGAACGAGGGAGAGGAGGGGAAGGAGAGAAGGAGGAGAGGATAGAGAGAAGGAGACGAGGAGGATGAGAAAAGATACGCTGGAGAGAAGAGAGAAGAAGATGATGAGAAGGAGGAGAGAAGGAGGAGAGGATGGAAAAGAGGATGGAAAAGAGATGACAAGGAGGAAAGGAAAGAATGCGAAAGAAGAAATGACAGAGGAGAGGATAGAGAGAAGGAGAGATGAAGGAAGGAAGAGAAGGAGAGGATGAGAAGGAGAAAATAAAGAAAAAGAGAGGGGGATAGAGAGGAGGAGGGACAGAAGGAGAAGAGGAGAAGAAATGTGCCTAACAATTCTTCAGAGAAGGAGGAGAGGATGGAGAGAAGGAGAGGACGAGAAGGAAGAGAGAACAAAAGGAGGATGTGAAGTAAGAGAGAATGGGGAGGAGGAGAGAAGACGAGAGGATGGAGAGAATGAGAGAAAGGGGATGGAGAGGAAAGGATGGAGAGAAGGAGAGGATGGGAATGAGAGAAAGGGGGATGGAGAGAAGATGGAGAGAAGGAGAGGATGGAGAGAAGGAATGAAAAAAGAGAGGATAAAGAGAGAAGGAGGATGGAGAAAATGAGGAGAGGATAGAGAGAAGAACGAAAAGGCTGGAGAAGAAGAGAGGATGGAGAGAATGAGAGAAAGGATGGAGAGGAGAAGATGGAAAGGAGAAGATGGAGAGAAGGAAAGAAAGAACAGAGAATAAAGAGAAGGAGAGGAAGAAGAGATGGAGGAGTAGATGGATGAAACGAGGAGAGGAAGAAGAGATGGAGGAGTAGATGGATGAAACGAGGAGAGGACGGAGAGAAGGAGGGAACGAGGAGAGAAGGAGCAGAGGGCGAGGGGATGAAGAAGAAATTATCCTTACATTCGTGTAGAGAAGGACAGGATGAGAGAAAGAAAGGAGGAGGAAAAGATGTAGAGAAAGAGAAGGAAGAGAGACAACTCCAGGTTTTAAAACATAGATCAGAAAATAGCGTAAATATGAACCTTTTAAATATGATACGCCATTAGAATGATGTAAAAGCCCAGCAATATTTCCTTCATCAGTCTATCGCACTTAAAACTGTGTTATCGTGACAGGCCTGACATCAGACTCCCAGCGGCCAATCACGTCGCAGCGAGGAGCAGGTCTGAGAGCAGGTCACATGGTACAGACGGCACCCCCACACCGAGCATGCGCCCCACTCGCCTTTCTCCATCTTCCTCCAGGCTCCACTCTATCATCTGGATGACATTTTAAAGAAAGCTTATATCAGTTTTGCTACAGGCCTTCTGCTACAGCTGGAAATATGCACATATAAGCTGACTTCTGCTTTATCCTTAATGTATGACCACGTCTCTGTTGTATTTTCAGGGGAGAGTGTTGTATTTGCAAATGTGGCTGTTTTGTTTTATGCTATAGAAAAATACATCACTGCTCAGTGTATTTTAAGGGGCCCATACACATGTTGATATTCCAGAGTCACTTGTATTTTTAGTTAATCTGCCACTGAACTAATAAGAATTAGCACTATCGGAGTAATGTTTATTATTATTATTATTATTATTATTATTATTATTATTATTAATAATAATAATAATAATAATAATCAAAATTATATGATACAAACCAACTGGCAATGTTAAAAAGAAACATAATTAAGCATGACAAATGTGAGGTCAGACAGGAACGATGTAAATTCAAAACATAAATTAATAAATTAAATGAGGTGCTAGGCGTCTAAGAGTTCATAGTGATAAGTTCTTTTATAATGATAGCGTTCTTGCTGTTCATAAAGGTGAATGATAAATGTAACGAAAAGGGGTTTGCATTTCAAAAATTTGTGGCAAAAGAAGAAATTCAATTTGTCAACTGGACAATAACATTTCGCAGCTTATGCAAGCTCCAGACCCAGGTGAACTCTGCCTTATATCTGCCCAGGGGGGAGCTAACTACACTGAAACTACTCTGAAACTAACACACCTATGTGTTTACAGTTTCTGTTACTTAGCAAGGCCTATTGAACTTGCGCTGAGTGTGAGGTCATATCAGCGTAATCATTCAGGGCCATAATGGGTGCTTTCACACCTCTGGGCCTGACCTGGCTACACCTATTGTTTTGTTTGTTTTGATTTAGGTTTGAGGATGGAGTTGTAAATAGGAGACAAATGATGTCTGAGGTCTCCATTTATGTTCAAGGAAGGATTCTTTCTTTATAACCATAGATTCTACCTGGACAACTGAGGAATTTTACAGACATTCCAAAAATTTGTTTTTGTGGATTAACATTTTTCCAAGTATAATAATAACCTTAAAAAATAGTTCATGTTTTTTATCCTTACATAGAAGTCCAAAGATGATGTCTGCGCGGCATTGATGAGACTTTGGCCTGACTGGAGGAGGTGGGCCAAAACACAACATGGTTGCTCATGTACGCACACATGCACGACTTCACTATAGAAGCCCTATGTGTGCACTGATGTTACTCATAACGAGGAAAACAGTGAATAAAATCTGCTCCAAAACACACAGCAAACCCACGCTTACCTTCAATGAGGACTGTGACAGAAGCTTAGCTGCCTCTCGTCTCCGGCTGTCATCACTGCTCTGTACTGTTTTTATATCCATAAACCCACAGAGGAGAACACAATATAAAAGGACACACATCATTCTCACTATTTAATAGATATTTCTGCTGCTAATAGACATTTTCTCCGCTAAAAGCGTTAGCACATGTAAACAAACAGCGTGATGATGATGTGGGTGCGGGCCTACGCAATTATGCTCGAACATGGCACAGTTCTTAAGTCTAAGTGTGAGTAGAGAACAACCAGAAGTGTACATCTTTCCATAAAGTAGTAGACCTTTTTCACAACAGCCGGAAGTGCCACGACGTAGGGTAAACGTAATTTCCAGTTAATGCTTTTCTATGGTAAAATATCTGTGGAGATGTTAAGACTATGGAAACTGGAGTATGACTTTGGGCTGTTCTCATGATGTATTTTCAGAGACCTTTACACGCTTGTATTTTTTATTTATTTCTTTTATGTCTTTATTGTATTTTGATTACTACTGCAGGTGGAAAATTAATTCTTATGAATTTAATATTAATATTTAATCAAAGTTATATTTTTGTAGATAAATTAACTATAGATAAGTGTAAAATACTTTACGCTTTCAAAGTTAGTTCACTACTTTGGGTGTTAGTTTTACACCCAAAGCACTGGACACATATAAGCTATGTTCAGACTGCAGCCTGAAGTGACCCAAATCAGATTTTTTTCACCCTTATGCAGCCAATATTTGATCTTTTAATAACAGTCTGAACGACACTGCAGATTTTTTCAAATGTGACCCAGGCCTCTTGGATATGTGCTCCTAAAATCAATACATATCCACTCTTCTGACATGCGACTTCAGACTGAACGGCCAGGTCGCATTCATCCCACCTACACATTATCAATGTAGACGAAGACGTGTTTCTACCTGCGAGAGTGGCACAAGTAGCTGCTCACAAATGTACACACACATTCTTCTCATATGAAAATTGTGTATGAACTCCATGTCAGTGAAGTAATGAAGCACATAGCAATCTCACCACCCTTAGCAGCGACTCCACACCCACACGTTTCTTTGTGTTGTGGGGCAGTGGCAGCTTATGCTGCCACTGCCCCACAAAACACTATGGTCAAAAAACTTGTCCTTCTTAATCTCCTCCTTAAAACAAATAAGCTGTACATGTTCTGGTCCTGGTACGACAGCAACTTTAATACCTATGGAGTAAGAAAGCTTTCAGAAATATTTCTGCGCAGATAATAGAAATCCATGCATATTTGGGAAATCTATGCATATTTGGCTGTAGTTGCACATAAAATAAATATTTGTAAACTCTCAAATGAGTCCAGTCGAACATAAAATATTTTGTGTGTGTTTTTATCCATCAGAATACGAATTGAATTACAATCACGAAATGAAAATTCACGATTACGCTTTCATGAGTACGATTACTAATTGAGACGCAAATTTACTGTCAAAAATACGTCATCAATTCACAGACATTATCAGAAGAAACCTCGATCAAGATCAAGATGCGCATGCTTAAGTTGTAGCAGAGGGTAAAAACGGAGTAACTGCACAACAAGCAGCTACAACAGCTGACCAACACGTGGGTTAATTAAAATTTATTGTAAAAATGTCTTGTCATAGTGGTAGCCAGTTGGCTGACATCAGACGTAATGTTATCCCAGGGCTAATAAGCAAATGTCAGCTTTCAGCATGTTTAGATTAAAACATTCACAGCTACAGCCACAGTGGACTGTCAGTCAGTCTTAAACTTAATCTCAGCTGCATTTCTAGCGTGAATCAATCCGCAGACACACGTCACTGAAGTAGGCTGACCAAGAGTTTCTTGGGACCGCTGAAATGTCCCAGTTTACACCAGACACTATCTGATGTAAACTGGGACGGAAGGGCGGCCCCACGTCGCTCGTTCGGGCTGTGCCCGGCCGGGCCCTGTGGGGGAAGGCCCGGCCACCAGACGCTCGCCTTCGAGCACCCACCCCAGGACTGGCTCCAGGGTGGGGCCCCGGTGACGCCATTCCGGGCAATGGAACTGGCCTTCGTATGTAACTCATCATGTGGGGCTTCTGAACCGTTCTTCGTCTGACCCGTCCCGCAGGACCTGTTTGCCTTGGGTGACCCTACCAGGGGTATGAAGCCCCCGGCAACATAGCTCTCAGGATCATTCGGGCACTCAAAACCTCCCACAAGGTGACGTTCAAGGAGGGGAGGGGGGTTTATTTATTTATTTTTGTTTACTACATTCCATTTGTCTTTATCAATACATATGTATTGTTTTATCAATACATATGTGCTAATAAGACAATAACAAATGGCAGTTCACTAATTAAATAACAGTTAAAATCAAAGTTTAGCACTTTTTAATACTGAAGTTTGATTTAAAGTTTCACGATGTGTGTAGAAAGTTGAAATTGCAGTGTAAAAGTTTTCAGCTTGATTTTTTTCAAATCGCAAGTGCACAAATATAACAGTTTGAGGTGATCCTGAGTGTGAAAAGGGGGCTAGAGTTCCAGCCTACATTAAACCTAAGGAAAAGAAGCCACAGTAAAAAGAACACAGCAGGAAAACATAGCTACCTTGTCCGTTTAGAACCATAGCTTTCTGCTGGTTGGTTTTCAGTGTATACCTGCTTTTGTAGATATACATACTGAATATTGGGAATCAGTCAACACAACCTAGTGAGCGAAGGTCCGCACAAGCCACCTGTTAAGGTATAACAGCTCTCAAACCTCAAAGCAGGAACTTTTACTTATGTCTCACTGGCCTACAGCAGGTAAATATGTTCCTGAAAAATTTGCAAAATCTCCCAATTAGACATTTCTTCTTGGGCTGTGTGTTGCTGTGTGTACCAGTTGTTTTTCTGCCCAATTCAGTTTGTGTAACAGGTTTGCCACTTTCTGTGAGCTTTTGGATGAGTTGATTGACTGTTGGACAACTGTCACACTCATCCTCAGAGCCCGACGAAGAAGAACTGAAATACATTCTGCCAACAACTGAAGGGTGGGACTTTTCACATAATTTCTTGTTCCTGGTGGTTTCTGCAGTGGTCTCATCTTCAGAGTCACTGACGAACGCAGCTTTGGACTTTCCACTGGACTTATTCTTGCTAAACTTCCTAATGTTGTTGTTGCTAGTCCCAGCAGTGGAAAATTGATCCTCAGAACTTGAATCCGAGAATGTGTCTTCATCTTCTGAAGAAAGAAACCAGTCAACGGATTGAAGGTATCTCTTGATTGCCATTTTACGAGCGGCCTCCTGTTTAATAAAAGAGTGTTTCAGCGCTTTTTCCGGGGTGATCCTTTTTGCTGGATTTACCTCGAAAATCAGTTTCAAAAGATCAAAAAAGTGCATAGTCTTCAGCTTCTCTAGTTGAAGGACTGGTTTAGGGTGGAACTCCATCATGTCCTCCAAACACGTGAAGTTTTTAGACCAGTTCTTGCAGGGTTTGACATTCTTGCCTAATTTGGCACTGTAGTCCTCTTGTGGGCACATCTCATAGCGATCATCAGATTTCCTTAAGTAGAGATGTGTAAACAAGCCCTTTTCAAGTTGTTCGGGATCGGGTAAGCCTCGGATCTGTGTAATTATCCTAACCATTTCGTATTCACAATGACAAGGAAACAGATTCTGGCCGAGGTATAAGAATGCCAGCACACAGCCAAGACTCCACATATCAACTGTCTGGTTCAGTTCAGATCCCAAACTTACTTCTGGGGCCCGGTATCCAAGCGGCTGCATGATAACACCAGGAACTAAGCTCTTCACCCTCTTAGTCAGCCCAAAATCGATGAGCTTGATTCTGAACGGTTCACGCTTGTGGTCAACCAGCATTACATTGCTTGGTTTGAGATCTGCGTGAACCAGTCCCCTCTTGCTCAGTTCTTTAAATGCTACCAGGAGCTGCTCAGCGATGTAGCGGATGTCTGAAACATGAATTGGTTTGAACTCCCTACTTTTCATGAACTCAGACAAGCTCTGATCTAAAAGTTCCATTACCAGACAGTATTGGTTCTGGTAAGCGAAAGATGTCACAAACGTTACTATGTTTTTGGCTTCACTCACACTGAGCAGCTCATGGAGAATATTGGCCTCATATCTGGTTGCTCTGAGCTTCATAAATTTAGAGATTTTCAAAGCCACATCTCTGTTGGTTGACAGGTCTGAGCACCGGGCCACGCGTCCAAAGACGCCTTCTCCCTTCAGCTCCTTTATCTGGTACGAACCAAAATCGCTAGAAATCGTATTACCTATCACCAAAATGACTTCACCCTGACGGTTTGTTCCAGCCATCATCTTGTTATATGATACACGTCTGTTTAAAGAAACGTTCCTATCGATTTGTCTGTAAACCTCTCGACACTCACACTTACAAACTTTTTACAGTGGTACAAAGCTTTGAATTGTGTTGCCATGAGAACATAAAAGCATATTGGTGGAATCTAGAATGTGATGTCAAAGCCTGAGGCAGAACCAGGGAAATTTAAATAAAAACAAATAAAAATGGTAGTATTCACACAGAATTAGATTTACCTGGGGCTAATTTCACTGCATTACAACAGCAGCAGAATTAAATGTATAATAATTGATTAAATTTTCTCTTCCATCACAATCATGACATTTTTTTATATAGTTAATTGTAGTAGGGTTGCATACGGTGTATTCTGATGGAAATAACGTGCTTTTGATTTGTTACAAGGGCTGTTATGAATTTAATATTAGTTGGTTTTCTTTTGGTGTGAAAAGTGACCTGCATCAGATGAGGCGACTGTCTGCAGTGTTCTGTTTTGATACCTTTTTATACATGTTCAGAATAAACTAATACACTAATTTACTGTCTGGTTGCACAATAATAAATAAGGTCTAAAAATGTACTTCCTGATTGGACGGATTTCCACAACTTACCTAGACACTGTAGTAACCTGTGCCGAAACTCCAAATGTACCATACATGTGTGTTGCATGTGTGTCGCAATTAATTAAGCACGATGCTGGCACACAGACCTTTCTCAGTGACGTCAAATATTTGGTTGCGCCGCCATGCTGGGAGGTAAAAAGTGTCAAAGCCAGTGCACAATTCGTCTCTACGTGTAGAGGATCCAACTGCTTCTTCCCATTTGTAATGCTGGTATTTTCAGAGTGCAGTTGTGCAGCCCAGCAGAATGTCCCAACGCTAAACCCTGACGTCAGATTTTTAAAGGAACCCACAGTTATTTATAATATGTTTATCACTAACCCTCCCACACCACTGTCTGGACATGTATGAAATAAAACCCTGGTGACAAATGCCAATCAGATATTTAATAGTGTTATAGGATTTGTAGTGTGAATATGTTATTACACTATTTTCTGATCTATGTTATGATGTTTCTTCATCGCAAACATACCTGGAGTTGCGTTTTATTCCATTCACACATGTTTAACACAAAAACCTTGCATATTTAGGCTTTTCTCTCAAACAGAAAACACTCTATTCCACCTTGTGATGTCATATGTTAATACAGGTAGCGCTCCACTGTGTTTTAAAACAGGTGGACAAGGTGGAACAGAGCATTTTGGGCTTTGGAGATGTAGTAGATAGACTAATAACGAAGGACTACTCAAACGCGAGTGACTGAACAAAACACAACTCCTTTATGCAGCAGATAACCCTATGTTCTGTCAATCATTATTTCATCTTTGCTTTTTCCCCCCCCCCATCTTTTTCTCCTTGCGACCTTTTGTATATACCTAAGATATATTTGTATTACTATATTTTTCTATATTTACTTTACTTATACATATACATTTATATAATTATGCCTTATTTGACCCCAGACTGCTATGTTTGCTTATTTTGAATATATTATTACCACTTATATTTTCATTCTTTATTATAGTATACTGTGATGTGTGAGCTACTGTGTCCAAATAATTTTAATTGTGGATCAATAAAGTTTGTCTAAGTCTAATTCTAAGTTCTGTATGTACCTAAAATGTAGAACGTAGTGAGAAAAAAGAAACAAAATATGAATTAGATTAAACTTTTACCTGGTGGTGTATGATAAAATGCATTTGCAATAAGAAGAGAGGAACTAAGTGATTACGGGAGGGAGAACAGAGTGACTGGGAGTTGTCTCTGGAGCAGGGCCTCTTGTTGTCTCAGAGCAGATCCTGTGAACTGGCCTGATGCATGGGGCCTCCAGTAAACAGTGCAAAGAACAGAGATACATTAAATCAGTGATGAGAGTTTAGACCAGGCCAAGGCTCAGGTCTGAGTGAAAGGCAGTCTCACCATTCAGAGCCTGCAGAAAGGTCAGAGTCAGAGCAGTTCACAGGCCCCAACACTATTCTTATGCTAAAGGGTCATGCACACATCCTCTCTTTCAGTGCCTCCGAGCGCATAAACAGCTTCACTTTCCCTCCAAAATCTGAAGAATCTCCTGCACACAAGTAGTGGAGGAAGCACTTTGTAACTTAAGTAAAAGTACAGCTGCAGGAGCAAAAAAAGGAAAGTATCACATGAAAAAAAATCCACTTAACGGTGCATTGTGTAATTGTTTTGGTTGGGGGTCCATCATTGCTTTGCCCACATGTTCCACACTATGATTTTAAACAGCTCTGCCTTACATTTATTCAATTACAGGTGGTTTTATAGCTAAAAAAATACCTAAAATGGGCATTCTGACTGTGAGCGCGGTCGCCTCTCCACAGATCTGACCTGCAGCTTGGTCTGGTTTGGTCTCCATGAGGATAGAAAGGTTTAATACCATACTCTGAAACATTACAGACAAAAATATAACATCTCCATGGAGAAAATCATTTGATGGGCAGGATTTAAAAATGTGAGACTAAGAGTAAAAAGTAAAAGTATTTCACACAGATGTTCAGATCTAATAAAGCTTCAGTGTAGTACTAGCGAAAAGAAAATGTACACACAATAAAAGCTGACCTCAAAAACACACTATATTGTTTCAGTTTTCAGATATTGAACATTAAGTTGATACAGTAATTATCGTGACAAACTTAAATATACTTGCATAATGATTCTAAACTGATCAAGAGAAGCTGATCTTTTGTTCTTTTAATAGAAATGTTGAATTTTATCAGATGAAGAAAAGAGGTAGAGGGCTTCACTGGGTCATAAAAGAATTAAAGGGTTAAACTAGTAGTCATAAACAGAAAGTTACCCTTACTGGAAAATGTGAAAATGGGCAAGATACAAACCTGAGGCACTCCGACTGAATATATTAAAAGTCCTTTATGGCATGAAGGGATGAATTGTTGAATTTTATGGCGTACAGTGTCTTTTCTTATGTGTTTGCAGGCCCAAAACTATCTTGGTGCAAAGGAGTACATTATAATCTCAGTTAAAAATGTTTGTACCCTCTTTTCAGGCCATAGACTGTGTTCAGCTCCAGTCAAATGAAGCTCACGAGGCTAGCAGATACAGGAGCGAATTTGGAGCCAAGTTTAATATTAGGAACTGGAATTTATTAACAGACAAAATAGTGAAATAAAAACACCAGGATCATGTAAAGCGGGTCAATATTAATATTTAAGACCATTAAGACAGTTACAGAGACAGAAGGAAGATAATTTTTCAATGTAAAGTCAACTGGACCCAGAGTCAATGGAGCCTGAAGCGCCTTATATATACACAGTCCATATTTCAAGCGCCTAAAATAAAGCTACTTAATGGAACTTTTCACCCTTTTGAAACTCAAACAAACTCTCACTCAGTCTGGTCTGCACCCAGGCATGTGTGTGTGTGTACTTTTTTGTCTATTCATTACTCTCCATGTTTTATTTATTTATTTCTAATCACGGCTGTGTACATTTGAATCACTATGTTTTTAAAGCGTGATATAAATAATTTAATTAGGATAAAAATAACTGTGACATTCGTCTTGCCTGTCTGCATTAAAACATATAATCACATTTTATTTATTTATTTATTTATTACATATTTATCCAAATAATTTACCTTGTGGATGAATAAAGTTTTTCTAAGCTCTATTTTATTTTATTTATTTGAGTATGATTTTCAGTACATTACAGTAAACGCATTGTGATTTCAGTACATAACTGAGGTGCTCATGAGGAACAGTTAGAAGAAAAAAAAACAAAAACGTATATTTTCCTACCCCTTAACGCATTAACTATTTCAACCTTTAATTATTCCATTTGATTTTATATTTTACAGGGTTTGAAAAGCCTCTTAAAGCACTGTCATGATAATTACTATATCAACTTAAGTATAAGATCAATGGAACTATATTTTTAGGGGTCAGTATTTATTGTGTGTACATTTTCTTTACACTTCTGGGGAATTTTGTGGTATTTTTTGGCTGTATGATAAGATTTAAGCAGTAAAAGTTTGAATTAATTACTTTTATGACTCATTACAGACTAAAGAGCTTCATTCTACTATTTATTTACAGCAGCCTGTGACTTTTTAATAATATTGATATAGTTTAGAATAGTTTTTGTGGTTTAACTCTGCTCTTGGGTTACTGTGTCAGTGGCATAAATTAGTTTCAGTGTAATTTTTATTGTCTATATTTACTTAATCAATATATGTCACACTTCAGATGTTTTTTTTTTTTTTATTGTGATGGGCGTATGTAGCAGCCGTGTTAATTGGCTTGTATTGGCTTTTTATTGACTTCCTGTCCACTGACCCCTGCCCTGTCCATCCATGGGGCCAACGGTCACCGGGGAATACAAGGAAATGGCCACTTAATTGTGACCACTTGACCTTTGACCCTGCTTCAGACAGACTCCTGACCTGGGCTCTCCGCAGCCTGTTTATTGTCCTCTAAGGGACTGTCCAAGTCAAGACCTTTGAACCCAAGCAGCCTGCACTGGGACCATATAACAGCTCCAAAACACACCACATCTCACCTCAGTAAACTGCTAAGGTAAAATAGAGATGGAAATGGTGAGGAAAGCTATATTAAAATACATGAAGGGTACTAACGGGAGCGTATGAATAAAAATGTTTAGTAGCATTCAGGGCTTTGGTTCCAGTAGCAGGCTACACACAGGCTGATCCCACTAATTGGTTTGCATTCAAGCAGAGAGGAGAACTAATCACTTAAATACAGCTGCTGTGGTGACGAAAGGTATATAAGATGCAAATTTTTGTGTTTTACTGATGAGAATTTCAATGCTATGGTTTGGGGATAACAGCAAAAAGTCAAAATACACTAGTAGAATTATTTTTGTTTGCCTGTTGGGAAAGCCCTTTGTTAGAATATATGTTATTTAGACATATTTTCTATTTAATAAAGACTGGGATTGCTTGTACGCTCT